AAGCCCAAAAAGAAAGCTAAAGCCAGTACTTAAAAGTTGAAAGCCAAAAGCCGCTAAGATCTTAGGTTTTAATTTTCGTTAAAGGCGAATTTGAACCACATTATTATAAGTCCATTGTTCATTATTTAATTTTTTTATTAAAGGGATAAACAAGATCAATTCAATCTAATGATTTAATTATTGACAAATTAATGTTTGTATTAATTAATCAATGTGATATAGTTAAAGTGTTTGAGAAGTGGGAGCTTGGGTGATGCACTTTGTTTGTATCACGCCATTAAATTCATCGAGTGGATTCAAAATGTTTGACATAGTGTGAGTGCAACTTGAAAGTATTTTAGAAGTGTCAAGTAAAGTTGTAAGGAGACTACAGAATTCAAAAGTTTAATTTGAAGCTCTAATCCAATCAAGAGCATCAAGTTTCCCTTAACCGCAGATTTGATGGGGCAATAGCTCAAGCCATAAGACCTTATAGGTTTCATGGAGTAATTCTTATCAGCTTCTAATTCATATCCAAGTGAGATATGAGCATAAACATTCTTAGAGGCGATAATCGAAAAAAACGTACTGGACACCATTACTCAATGAGTGATGAATGCATATAACTGGGACGAAATTCGTAATAGTACGAATTGTCGTGCGCATCAACTACCTTTTGTGTAAGTGGGAGATTATTGGAGTATGCCCGAAAAGTAATTGACGTGGCAACACGTAATTGGTTATTCAAGGTAACCGAATGTCGAGTCATCGACGACAAAAGGCAAGTGAGAACATTCGCCGAGCACAGGACCTAATAGTAGATTAGGAAACTTCGTTATTGATTAGAATGATCCAAGGAATAACTAGGAATAACTTAAGTAGTAAGGACCAGATGTAAAGATGTTCCAATCCTGATATACGTAGCCTATGGATCTTCGGTCTAAAATTATCTTCCTAGCCATTGGATGATGAAAGGACTATCAAACATAAAAAAAAAAAAACTTTGCGCGACGAAACACACATCGTCACGCAAAGTCACTTTGCATGACAAAACTTTAAATTTCGTCACACAAAGTCTTTACAAAAATAAATAAATAAAATAAAATTATTTTTTAAAAAATCTTTGTGCGACGAAACCAAATATTACGTCGCCTAAACCCAATTTATTTTTGTTTTTATTTATTTTTATATTATAAATTTTAAAATATAGTTATTCTCATAAGTTTTTATTATTTTTTAAAAACTTTTGCACGACAAATATCAATATTTCATCGCCTAAACTTTGCTTGACCAATTTTTCATTGTGTAAGATCGTATCCTTCGTCGCACAAAGTGCTACGGTTTTTAAAACCAAAATAACTCCTCCACAATTTTCTCAATGTATCTCTCAAGTTCTCATACCTCTGCTCTCTTTCCCTCTCCCCAAATCCAACCCCCTCTCTCACACTCAATCTCTTCTCTCTCTCTCTATCTCTATCTCTCACTCTCACTCACTCTCTCATTATCTCTTCTCAGCCTCTCCTCTCTCTCTACCTCTCACTTACTCATCTCTCTCCCTATCTCTCACTCACTCTTAATCTTGCCAAAAGGTATTTTCTCTCCAAATTTTAATATATTTTACATTAATATGTGTTTTTGCAGTTAATTTTGGGTTTAGGTGGGGTTTGAGGTCGGGTATAGGTTGAGGGGTGGAGTTTGGGGTCAGATTTGGGGTATGCCAATTTTAGGGGAGGTTATGCCCATTTTTTGGTATTAATTTATGTTTTTTTTTTTATTATTTGACCATGTTTGTTTGTTTTTTTTTTTTGTAGGGAATCTGTCAGGACTTTGACGATGAAAGCTGAGGATTATGATGCTATCGGACCATATCCCCCACCACCACCACCCCCAAAACAAACTTGTATTAGGATTTTATTATTGTAATTTGTTAATTTATATGTATATTATGGATAATTTGATCACTAATTTTCATATGTAATTTTATTTTGAGTATGTCAATTTAAATTAAAGTAATTAAAAAAATAAAGGCATACAATTAAATTAAATTAAAAAGGTAAAAATTCAAAAAATCTTGCACTACCAAATATTTTGTCGCACAAACAATTACTATAAGTAAATTAAATAATAGAAATAATAGAAAAAAAATTCAATTTAATTAAATAAAAAAAATAAAAACTAAAAACTTTCGTCCGCAAAATCTTGCACTACCAAATATTTCATTGTGCAAAATATTAAATTAATTTAATTAAATCAAAAATCAAAAATAAAAAACTTAGCGTGACGAAATATTTTGTCGTGCAAAGTACCTTCGTGTTTCGTTGCGCAAACCCTATCTTCACGAGCTTTGCACGACGAACCATGCGTGACAAAAATTTCATCGCACAAGGTTTTGAGCGACAAAATCTTACTTTGCGCAACAAATCTTATTTCGTCGCGCAAAGTGTTTTTTGTAGTAGTATCAACAAAGGCCCATTTGTGTCATATGCATTAATAAGTCTTGGACAAAGCATGTAGTGACATGGAATATGTATAAAGGTGCTCGTCTATGAGATCGAGTTCACTAAATATTAACCAACCATAAAAGTGTACGAAAGGAAGATTTCCTACTTGTCAATCATTCCACACTTTTGAGTTATAGATGCTACTAGTACTTATACATGAGGCTTCACTGGTTATCTTGTGTTAATGAAACTGATATCAGTCTCACCTTGAAGCTCTCAAACAATAGCGGAGCCCTTTAGTGGGAGGTTCGGGATCATGTGTATCAACATGGAGATACGTGAATGCACAAAAAGGAATCTGTCACCTTCTAGGTGATCATGAAGGTTGATATTCTAGTAGCCTATTGACGATCTATCTCCAGAAGCAGTCTTTGGCCAAAGCAACGTACATGAGATACATCATGGCGATCATATTCATGCTTAGCATTTGACAAATGTTCCATTCTCTAAAATATATGATTGGAATATAGTAGACAAATGAACTTAATTGCATTGTAACTGTAACTAAGGTTCTAAATATGTGTTATATGAATTCAAACATATGCTAACTAATCTAGGTAGCTGAAACTCATTGTTAAATGTTACTATTCGGTTTGTAGATATTCCTATAAGGTTGAATTAGAATGGTTTCTAACTATGTAAAATTGATGAAGTCTGAATTTAATATGAATTGTTTATAGAAATCTTTTTTCATTTTATATTTGATTAATCGGTTTGGGCCTTATATTTATTATAAGTTACTTGAACTAAAATAAATAAGGAAGTCTAGTCCGATAGAAAAGACTGAATTAACAAAATAAATAAAATAATAGCGAATCAGGCTAAAACCAAATAACAAAGGGGGTGTGCGGCAAGCCCAAATGATGTCTCTTAAAGACATATGGCACACATATATATGATAGTAGATTAAATTGTAATCTACGTTTGTTGCACCGGACTATTTCGGACTGGACTAGCTTTAGGGACTAAGCTAGACTGGCTTAGACTAGACTAAGCTGGACTGATTTAGGGAAGTGTTTGGTGTAGCATTGGACTAAGAAGCAGGATTACAATATTATATTATTTTATATTAATTTACTATATATCGATTAATATTTATTATTATTATTTCTTTTTCTTTTTATTTCTAGAATCCTCTTCTTCATTTTGGAAAGATCTCGTCCATAAACCCACTTAGGCAAACTGACATTCCACTTTGAGAAAACAAAGCAGCAATCCATCTCGCAAAGCCTTCTCTCTCGCGGGTAACTCTCAATTGTTCATCAATCTTTGCTCTTCAATTATTAATCTATCTCTTATCAATTTTATTTTAGATTTTGTGCTTAAACCTTCATGGGTTTTAATGGATATTTCAAAATTTTGTTTTCTGCCCCTTTCCCTTTTTCCCCATTTTTGTCCCTCCGCCTCTCCCTCCCATTTCCCTTTTCTCCCCATCTTTGCACCTTTTTTTTTTGTTACCAGTGTCTCCCTCCCCTTCCTTTTGTTTCTCTCATTTCTCCTCTGTATAATGTTCTGTCTCCCATCGCTCTCTTTGTATTTATTTTTTCTATTTTCTTCAAATTTGGTTCTTGTATTTTCTAGGCAAATCATAGTTGGTCAAGAAAAATCACTCAGAGTCATTGCACCAATGCTAAAGTTTTCAATCTTGCTGTCAGCGGAAGAATCTGGATCACCATCAGACCCATTTTTGCCGTCGTTCAGGTAGACCCAGATGGAAAAAGACACCAAATCATCGACCCAGATGCCAAAAGGGCGCTGGGTTTATGGGACGAAGGAGGGTTGGTGCTGCTCATGCGGGTTTGAGCGACGTTGCTTGCAGAACAGGGAGACGGGACTAGCAATCCCGTGGTTTTTAGGGGGTCTAAGACCTCTTAGTGAAGCCTTTAGTGTAGGCGAGTCCGGGCTAGTCTCATTAAGACTAGTCCCGCATGATAACAAACATCAGACTGGACTAACTATTAGTCCAGTCCAGTCCAGTCCCACTTAGTGAGGACAAACAAACGCTCCCTTACTGGCTTATGGAATGGTTGAATATATATGCCTAAAATGTAGTAAGTACAAACAAAATAACGATAAGAAAAAAAAAAATAGGGCATCATATTTAAAAAACAAGTACAGCAATAATATCGTATTTCTGCAGAAAATACACTAAACTGACAAAGAGTGAAAAAAAAAATGAAAAAATAATAAATCAAGAATTAATATTGATCTCGCAAGTCTGATCACTTGCACTGCAAACTTTTGAGCGTCTTTGATGACAAATCAAATGCAATGGTACAGTCCATGGTGGAAGATTTCTTCTTCTTCATTATCAACATAAGTTCAACCTTTCCTGTCAACTTAGCCGCGCTGTTGAGAGTCAACACCCCGCTGTTCAATTCACTGCCAAGATTAGAACTGCTCAATGCACTTGAACTCAAGCTCACCTTGACGTCAATTTTTTTGGTGGAAAGCATTCCAGCCTTGCTCTTTGGAATAGAAACTTGCCCGACAGTTGCACCTTGGTACAAAAACGTGACAATGGCTGCATCAAACTTGTATGGACCAAAATTTGTGTTCTTGACTTTGATTTGGGTTGAGAATTTCGTGTCGAATGAAGGTGTTGCTGGGGGCGGAGTTGAGCTCTTGGACGTTGATGTTGCCTAGTCTGACTTTCGGGGTCTTAACTTTCAGGACAGTGAGACTCATCGCTGTTATGACCATGATCTGAAACACAAGGAAAATACCAATGTAAATGGCTAACTTGATTCTCTTCTTGCGTTTCAGCTCATCAACGGATTCCAGACTCTGCATCACTTTTTGTGTAACCATTTGCCGGTGCTAAAGGATAAACCTGTTGGTTCTTTTCGGCCATGTTCTTGTGATTGTTTGAGGTGTATGTTTTCAGGGATGAAACTTGGAAGTGAAGGGAGTTTGTGGAAATGACGGAAGAGTTGTGCGCTATATATAGCGTTTGGAGTTTGGCCTATTTTCAATAAGTTGTGTAGGGGAATGAGCTTCCTGTAAAGTGAGAGTTTCAAGGGAAGAATTTGATTGCAGACGCGCCAAACGCGTCCAAAGCCAAAGGTGAACTTACTGTCTTCTAGATGATCGACGACTTTGGCGAAGCATCTAATATACACTTTAGATCATCTTATATTGTTATTTTTTCTTGCAGCTGTCTTGACATTGACATTCAAAATATCAACGGAAGCATCTATTAGTACACTTTAATATTTATAAACTTGGACAAGAAGGACATTTCTAGGGTGATTTTCACACTATCAATTTCTCTTTTTGCACTTTTTAATTAATTATTTATTTTTCTTTAATTTATACAATCGTAAGACTAAAAAAATGTAGAAATACAGTAGCAGAAAAAAAAATATTAGATGAGTGCAGAGGAGAAAATTGAGGACGAAAAACACTTGTTTCTGTTTCTTATGGAAAAAGTAGAATATGGGTTCTCAAATTATAATATTAGACTGAAAGATATTTCATATTAATCCAGAAAAAACAAGGCTTAAGAAACTTAAATTAACATCCAAGCTAATATTTTGTTTCACATGTGATTGATATGATTATTATAATAGAAAGCACATAACTCATAATACTAAAGTACAGGGAACATTTTAATATAAACTTTGCCTAGAACACAAACAATTGGATCTCTACAAGTCTTACAGAGAAAGGCACCTCATGTGTTATTTTGTATTTTATATCCATTTCTTTGTATGCTATGTGACACAAAAGACTTCTTCCTACATACAGCCGTCTAGATTGATCCCGAATGTCAAAAACCCTACCCTATACGCGCGTTTTGGTTACATTATTTGAGCATTTCCTAGAAGCTTGTACCACACAACATTAACCCTCTATATATAACACACTACTCTTCCATCATGTCCACAAACTCCCTCCACTTCCAAGCTTTCATCCCACAAAGAAACTAGCAAAAGCTAGCGGATAACTAACATTGTTTCCACTTTCACATCAGAAAAGAATAAGAAATTAATATGACTTGGAAAAGAAATGATGAGGAATCTTTGCAATCTGCTGATGAGGTGAAACGCCAGAAAAGAATCAAGTTGGCCATTTATATTGGTTTTTTTTATTGTGTTTCAGATCATTATCATAACCACGATGAGCCTCACTGTCATGAAAGTTAAGACCCCGAAGGTCAGGCTAGGCAACATCAATGTCCAAGACCTCAACTCCATCCCGGCAACACCTTCATTCGACACTAAATTCACAACCCAAATCAGAGTCAAGAATACAAATTTTGGTCCATACAAGTATGATGCTGGCATTGTCACGTTTTTGTACCAAGGCGCTACTGTCGGGCAAGTCTCTATTCCAAAGAGCAAGGCTGGAATGCTTTCCACCAAAAAAGTTGATGTAGAGGTGAGCTTGAGTTCAAGTGCACTGAACAATTCCAATCTTGGCAGTGAATTGAGCACCGGGGTGTTGATTCTCAACAGTGCGGCTACGTTGACTGGAAAGGTTGAACTTATGTTTATTATGAAGAAGAAGAAGTCTTCCACCATGGACTGCACCATTGCATTTGATTTGTCATCAAAGACGCTCAAAAGTTTGCAATGCAAGTGATCAGACAAACCAAGTAGCGCAGTACAGGAGGGTGGAGTTGAACTGCATTCTTTCTGTAACATCTTTAGGATTCAAATTGCGAGTGAACAAGACTAGTTCTTGATTTATTATTCTTTATGCGACCTTGAATTTGAATTTGATACAAATTTTTTAATTATTTTTTTAACCATTTATGCCAGTTTTTCCTTTCTTCCTGTCTCCAATATATGGTGCAGTTTCAAGTTTAAAACCTTTTAGATGTGTGCATTTTTACGCGTGTACTTGACTCTATCATGGTTACTGTGTACTTGTTGGGCTAAAGGTTGCTCTTTAACTTGGTAATGTAAAATGTCACTTCCCTGCGAATTAATTGTTCCCAATTGTGGCTGCCGCTAGATTTGAACGGCATCATTCTATCCTCACATATGTTTCTTGTGAGCTTCGTATAACTGTCAGTGAGTGTGAGTTTCTCAGAATCTGCTTTCTACAGTAAGACAGTCCTCTCAATTCTAGTGAGAGAAAATGTTTCATCTCTGTGAAAAATCATGAAAGTAGGAATCAATTCTTCTTGTATTCTCAAATTGATAAGCATTGCCTATTTTGAAATTATATGTTTTGATGATATATCGTTCTAATTATCAACGAAAGCTTTTGAGCCGCAGTTCATTTGAGAGAAACTTAAATATTTTCACTGTTGGATGCAGATTTCATACTAGCTGATCAGTATTATTTTTCATATCAGAGGATCACAAATCATTCTCTGTATTTGTGTTTAAAATAAACTTCTATTTTCACAAATCATTCTGTATCTGGTGACTGAGCTTGGATGAAGATTGAGTTGTAACGATGGTTGCCTTCCTGAAACAGCTTCGGTAGAGGAGACTTGAAGCTACAGAGGAACTCGCTGCCACTTAGATTAGAATTGAGTGATCATTGAGCTTAAATGTGTACTTGTATTGCCATTCAACTGTTACATTGTGGTGGTTATTGACTTCTAGATGATCGATACCAAGAAAAAAATGTTGGAATTTAAGTAAATTAACAGAAACTCTAATCACAATTCACAATACATATATATTTATATATCCATCGTTAGTCTCAAACCTTAAACCCTTTCGATCCTTGAGAGGTCTGCCAGTTTCGATCCCATGACTAATTGGATTTGAACCTCCCTCAAACCCAACAACATACATGGATGTCAAGTAGTTTCTTCTACCCACTAAGAGACCTTATGTTCAGATGGTGATAGAGCCAAGAATGCTGAACGTTTTTCTCTATGAGCAGGGAACTCTTGCACTTATAGAAGCAATGACAGCCAACTCCCATCTATCGTGGAGGGTTGGTTATTTTCTCATTGCTTCAAATCCCGATCATGGAGAGGTGGTTGTGATTAGTGCTTCCTTTCAAATGCACGATGTAGCTTTCCACGTATCCAAACTCTTATTAATTTGTATTACCAACATATTATTTCTCCTTTATCTTTTACTAGTGGAGTCCACATAGGATTCTTACATTCTCCCACATGGACATTAACTAGTTCTGAAATAATATGTCCATGACAAATTATTCCTTAGTGATCACCTTTGAGTTTATCGCAGCTATCATCATATACACATCCATCAATATTCGTTTGAGACTTGAACCCTAGAAAGCAATGCATGCAGTGGCGGAGCCAGAAATCTTACCACAAGGGGTCTTAGTGTAAAAGTCCAAATAAAAATTTAGGATGGAAAAACATAATGAAAATGAAATCATAGTACTTTCATTCATAATTCATAACGGAAACAATATTACAAGCTATAATTGTCCACGACGAGGTTTCATATTTTGAAAACGAAGCATTATAGCTTCATTTTCAATACAAGCAAAAATATCTCTCTCAATATAAACAAGCAAGCTATCACTCAACCATTGATCTCCCATTTTGTTCCTAAGTGGACCCTTAACAATATTCATGACAGAAAATGCTCTCTCCACTGAAGCAATTGCAACTGGTAAAACTAAAGACAATGTAATGAGCAAATATACATAATTGAATACTTGATGCATCCTTATCTCCACCAATTTTTTTGCAAGATCACCAATCCCTTCCAATTGAGAGAAATCACTACTGAAACGCACATAATGAATATAAATCTCAAGTTGATCTTCAAGTGCCAAATGATCCTCATCCGAAAAGTCTTGAGGATAAAATTGAGCAAGACGAAGTAACTTTGGTTTATCAAAGGCTACAAATGAATCTTTCGGACTCAAACATGCCAAACAAATAAGCAACTCAGTATTTACCTCATTAAAGCGATCCTCTAACTCCGTAATTTGCTCATCAATGACATAAATGAAGAGCTCCACACGATAATGATGACGATTCGTCTTTATTGGAGCATTACGCCTTGACCTCCCTGGAAGTATAAATGCCTCTTCCATGTTAGGAACATCAATATGATGTTTTTCACAAAAAGAAGATACTTCATCAACCAATGCATCGAACCCATTATTCCTCATCCAATGTAGCTTTTCCCTGCATGATTTCATTAAAGCCATTGCATTCACAATTTCTTGATCCTTCATTTGCAATGTTTGTGACAAATCATTTGTGAGTCCCAATATGACTTTCATCAAGAAAAGGTGAAACACAAACTCAAAAGTACGTATGTCTCTCATTAACTTATTTGCTTCACCCGCACTTTCATTGGGATTATCATCAATAACCATTTGAAGCACATGAACCACGGATGAAAACATGGAAATGATGCTAATCAAGGTACCATAGTGTGAATTCCATCGTGTGTCACTGACACGTTTGAGACTTGGTTCTTGATTTAAGCCTCGCCCCGTTATAAGACAATCGTTTTCAAAAGCTATCACAAGCTCTTCTTGAAGTTGTTGTCGAAGTAAATCACGCCGCTTACAAGATGCTCCAACATAATTAACCATACTATTAGCCGTTACAAAAAAAGAGGCAATGTCTATATTCTTCTTTGCTACAGCAACAAGAGCTAGTTAAAGTTGATGTGCAAAGCAATGAACATAATATGCACAAGGTTGTTCTCTTAATATCTTTGTTTTAAGGCCATTCAACTCACCTCCCATATTGCTAGCACCATCATAACCTTGTCCTCGTAGCTTGGAAATGCTCAAACCATTGCGAGAAAAGAATGTGTCAATAGCATCCTTTAGTGAACTTGAAGTAGTGTCGGTAACATGTTGGATACCCACAAATCTTTCAATTACATGCCCGTTGTCATCCACATAACGCAACACCATAGCCATTTGCTCTTTCACCGACACATCACGTGCTTCATCCACCAATATTGAAAAGAATCTATCTTTTAGACCATCCATGATAGCATCAAGTGTTTCAAGGGCACATGAATTCACAATTTCTTTTTGAATGGAAGGAGTTAGTAATTTGAGATTCCCCGGAGCATTTTCCATCACAACTTCTCTAACTTTATCATCATTATCTGCAAGGAATTTCAATAGCTCCAAGTAATTTCCCTTATTGCTTGAAGTGGCACTTTCATCATGGCCACGAAAAGCAAGACCTAATAAAAACTTAGTGCACTTGATTGATGCATTCAAGCATGTGCGATAAGCCTTACGAGCTTGGTCGGAGTGTTTGCTCACTGCCGTTTCAATATGTGTAGCTTGATTCATCAAATTTGTAGCAGCTTCTCTAACCTTATTATGAACACTCCCAACCGTTCCAACATGCATCTTAAATCTTTCTCTCCTTTTCTTCCAAGTCTTAAATCCATCTCTAGTGAAAGCTTCACTACCCATTTGTTCAAAATTGGTTTTAAAGAGATAGCAATAGAGACAAAATGCCGCATCTTTAGATATACTATACTCCAACCAATCAAACTCATTAAACCATAGGGGAATGAAGTGTCGATTAATTCCGGACATATTAGTTATTGGGAAATTATGACCTCTAGGTTGACGAGGTCCTTTTTGTAGATATGATCTTCGGACCTCATCTCTCATATTAGCATCATAATCTATCATTTGAATTCTTAATCCATGATCAGCTTGAAGATTACCCAAAACATCATCTAACTGACTTTGTCTTGAACTTGGAGTTCTTGAACTACCAACAGTATTCGAACTACCCGAACCCGATGATGACTTTCTCTTAAAAAACCGTTCCATAATAATTCTACATATACAAAATATTCAAAATAAATACTCACAATATAAACAAACCATCAACATAATCAAAATAAATATGAATTGGATTTCAATTAAATTAAATATATTCTACATATACAAAATAATGAAAATAAAAACTCACAATATACACAAACCATCAACATAATCAAAATAAATATAAATTGGATTTCAATTAAATTAAATATATTCTACATATACAAAAAAATGAAAATAAAAACTCACAATATAAACAAATCATCAACATAATCAAAATAAATATGAATTGGATTTCAATTAAATTAAAGATATTCTACATATACAAAATAATGAAAATAAAAACTCACAATATAAACAAACCATCAATATAATCAAAATAAATATGAATTGAATTTCAATTAAATTAAATATATTCTACATATAGAAAATAATGAAAATAAAAACTCACAATGTAATCAAATCACCAATATAATCAAAATAAATATGAATTAGGTTTCAATTAAATTAAATATATCATACATTATACATAGGGTTTAGAACTTACTTGAATTGTGAAATTTCACAATAACAATGTCAATGAGCAAATATAAAGAGAGCTGGCGCGGCACCTCAATGGTGGCAGCAAGGGAGGAGATGGAGTTGAGGGTTTGGGGGGGGGGGGATTGAGTTTGGACTTAGGGTTGGAGGAGGAGAAAACAAAAGAAAATTGGGGGTTTTGGAATGGGGGAGTCGGATCTGTGAAAAAAGAAGAGAGCTGCCTTTTTTTTTCTTTTTAGACCTGGCCCAAAATGACGTCGTTTTGGCCAGGTCATTTAAAAAAAAATTGACTGAGCCAAAACGACGTCGTTTTAGCCAGGTCATTGAAAAAAAATTGCCTGGGCCAAAACGACATCGTTTTGGCCAGGTCATTTAAAAAAAATTGTCTGAGTCAAAACGACGTCGTTTTGGCAAGGTCATTTAAAAAAAATCCCTGAGCCAAAATGACGTCGTTTTGCCCAGGTTGTTTTAAAAAAAAAGGCCCGCGCGGGCTCCTCTTTCTTCTTCAACCTGCAAGGCTGCCTTCTTTCTTTCAAACATTCCGTCGAACAAGTGGTGTGCAGCTCCAAGGGATCGAACCAGCAGCTCCAAGGGACCTCTAAGGTTATTTCCATGGCTTCCAAGGGGTCGTGCGACCCCATTGACCCCACTGTGGCTCCGCCTTTGAATGCATGTACTAATACTGCACGCACCCTAGAATCACAATCCTCAAAACCATATTATATGATGCATTTGATATACCTTTATATATACATTTCATTCAAGTAATTTACTACTCATATCACTACCAAACCCTCCCACATTTTTACCTAGTATACCTTCATAATTCCGGTTTCAAGGCTTCATTCTTAACCACTGGACATTAGCCCCTCACATTTCTGCATAACAAACTAAATCAATATGCTCTTTGGAACACTGATTAGTTATTTAATTGCATGTAACAAAATTAAACCTGTATGACATCGTCAATTCTTAAGTTTGAAGGAAAATTATCCAAAGTCTTGCAATAGAAGATACAACAAAACATAGTGGCTTACTGTACTCCCACATTTCAGCATATTCATAACCATTATGCACATCCATATTTGAAAAATGGTTTTTAAAACTCCCACATCCAGTGGGTTTGTCAATGGGTCAACTAGCATCAGTCTCGTGTCGATGCCATCTGTCGACACTAGTCTCATTTCCCCACATGAAAACACCATCAAAACATGATAAACAAGATGATTAATGTATTTTGTAATATGTGTCCAATGAAACAATCATCTTTGGTCCTTTATCAAACTCATTGGAGTTTGCTTTAATGCTTCCAATGAAGCCTCGATTTCGTCTTGCATATAAACTAATTATTCAATGAATAACTATGTCATGAAGTAGAAAATAAAGATGTACTTTATGTGTCTGCAAACATCTTCATTTTATGATCCTCTTCATCAGTTTCCAACGAAATTCTTCAATGCTTCAAATGAAGCTGACCTTAGTTGCAAGTACTGCTAATAATCATACATACATAAGCACTCTCAAAATGCAACTAAATAAAAGCTTTAGTCTCACAAAATTATTTCAAGAATCAAACACTCATGAGTAAATATGAATGATAAAAATCACAACAGTATCACAATTAATCTTTCATGCATAATATTCCTTTAACATTCATTTAAATATGTATGATGGATACACAAAACCAGACCAAAGAAAACCAAACGGTACAAATCAATTAGAAAATAGTTGTACCGATATTTAACATTTGTTCTTAATGCCCTCAAACTCTTTATTATGACCAATATGTAACCATCCAATGAAACCATATGAATGAGACAAGGAAGATAGACAATGCACATATGCATCATTTATACATTATATATATATTCATGCAATTTAATCATGTTGTATCTTAAAGATCGATTTAACTCCAAATCTTCAGCAACCATTTTCAAAAGTACTAAACATTTCATCAGAGAAGAAAATTTTGGCTTTCGTTCACTCTTTCAACTTGATTGTGACGATACAAGAACAACTCCCACAATCTTTTACAACTCAATGTCTGTAGAAAATGTTAATGAACTGAAACCCAAAATTTCTTACACTTATTCTCCCAATTGGGCAAAACAATCATTAATTTATTATTTCATGAAAATTACGAATGATAGTTGCTTAAAATTTTAAACACCATAGATTAGAAGTCTAAAACTAGATTCCATGAGTTAGTCTCAATTACGTTAGGATTTACTATAATTGATTTTACTTTTATAAACAAACAAACAAGAATTCTTGTGCAATTCAGAGTGCGGATGGGAGAAAGGAATCAGCATCTTCATACAAAATACTTAAAAAGAAATAGCCTTGAACTCTTTTCACAGGATGAGAAAAAAACCATCGAACCAAAGCCATATAAGAAAAGAACGCTCAAACCAAAGGCAGACAGGTTTCAAGGAAACTAAAACTGGTCATCAAGTTCCAATAACCGAAAAAGCAACCAACAGGGAAATAAATTGAACTTCTAGAGATAGGCAAAGGAAAATGCAATTTATTGAAACAAATTATTCCAGCAAGTTCTGGTTCACATACCAATTGAAAATTTTCAAATTAGTTTGACTAAGTATGAAAAGTATGCACAACATCACCCAATATTTACTCGACTAAGAGTCCTGCCTATAAATATGGTTTCAGACTTTGACCCACACCAATCTTTGTATTATTCAAGGCCAATACTGAAGTAAAAATCAAGATTTGTTCTGCTTAAAACAATTATACTGCAGCCAGCCTTTCAAAGACTAATTGCACACCCACTAGCACCCTATGTCATTGAACTAGAAGAGAAGGTTGTCTCATAATTTCATGAAATACAGTACACTGTATCACAATTTGAACCATTCATTATGTCTTCCTTCGGAAAGATTAGTCTCATGTAATAAACTGTTGGTCACAATTTCATTTAAGAAAGTCCTTGAACAAAATTTCCTAATAATTCCCACTTTGGTGAAAAATTATATAAACATTTGTTCAAGAATGATTTATCATTGTTAGTGCTCTTACAAAAACTATTAGCTTCACTAACCTTTGAGTTGATTTATCTTTATCCTCATGCCTTTCAACCTGCGTTTGAGGAACTTTACACACATGAACAGTGATCAATATTCAAGACAACAAATCCAGGATCAATTTAAGAAAACAACTTTATAAAGGGCATGATAATTCATTTAAGGAGACAACAGACTATCAATATCTGAAGAAATTCAAAGTTCATAAATGTATGTTCATGTCACACCTTTGGGCAAGAAACACAAAGTGTCATTTATTGTTTATATATTCGTGTTTTCTTTCCCTACAACCAAAACTAATGCTAAAAAGACAACCAAACTTTGAGGCAATCAGTGTGAAATCCCATCCCCGGAATTTCACCATTTATTACGTATTTCATAATTTAAATTCGTATTTCGTGATTACATGATCTTTATTAGTTAATTTTAATTCCACTAATTATAAGTTTAGTAATTGATTAGTTGTCGAGTTGGAAGTTTCATAATCAATCTTTATCTTTCGTTTATATATTTCGAAGTTACAACTAGTGTTTTTAAATTGATCTTGAATCCACAAACGTATAGGCGAAAGCCGTTTGCAAGTCTGAATTATAACGGTATAGTTACGGACGTTTGAAGTTGTGAACTTTAGATTGTGGGAAGCATGGGTTAAAGGTTAAGTTAGTAAAGAAAAAAATAAAAAATAGAAAAGTGAGGACCTATTAGATTTTTAAAGGGTATGAAAGTACCCATTTGGAAAAAAGAAAAAGGAAGGCCACTTCTGGCCTTCCCCCCCCCCCCCCCAATTTCGTGAAACCGTGAGGTACACCAAACCCTTTTTTTTATTTTCAAACCGACCAATTTTAGGCCAATTCCTACCATTTCTCTTCTGATTTTTCCTATCTCCTTCACCTGCAACTTGCTCAACTACCTTCCTCCTTCCCTCTCTACCAAAAATGAGTTTTTAAGGTCTATTTCATGTAGAACTCCATAGGAGAACCCGGGGGTTCTCGACAACGAATTGTCATTCCGGAGAGTATCACCATTCACCATCACCCTTAATCAGCTTCCCTTGGA